TCATATATGGGTTAAAGGCCAGACGCTTAACCTACATTAGCTTTTAGTTGTAGAGTTGTAGAGGTTAAAGATGTGTCCACACATCTTAAAAAGCATTGGAGAAATGCAACTGGCTGGAAAAACACACAGCCAAGCAAAGTCAATGCAGTAATGAAGCTCCTGATGTTGATCCAAACGCCTTTTCTGGTTTAAACCAGGTCAAGAAACTGGGGTAAGTTAAGTTTGACTATTTGTCAGCATATCATGTTTTGAGCTTTATTTGTCGTAGTGTTTGTGGTAATGCATTTACCTCTTTACAGGTGAAACTCGAAAAATTAGAATATGGTGCAAAAGTTCATTTATTTCAGTAATTCAACTTAAAAGGTGAAACTAATATATTATATAGACTTATTACATGCAAAGTGAGACATTTCAAGCCTTTATTTGTTATAATTTTGATGACTTACAGCTTATGAAAACATTTTCACAATATTCTAATTTTGAATTTGGGGTTTTCATAAGATGTAAGCCATCAAAATTATAACAAATAAAGGCTTGAAATATCTCACTTTGCATGTAATGAGTCTATATAATATATTAGTTTCACCTTTTAAGTTGAATTACTGAAATAAATGAACTTTTTCACGATATTAAATTTTTTCGATTTTCACCTGTATATTATCCCTTAGTGTTGGGGGGTAATGCATTACAAGTAACATGAGATATACAATCAGATTACTTTTTCAAGTAACTAAAGTACTGCATTATCGTTACATTTACATTAAAATATCTGAGTTACTGAGATAAAATTAGGGATGCAAATTTCAACAGCTAAAAAAGGCATTATCGGTCAAAAATACAAGCTGAAAATATTTGCCTTAATTGAAAATGTGATCTGTTGTGAAGCATCATACACAACAAAACAGTCTTGTGTCATAAAGTGTTGAAAATGTCTCAAGTAGCAGAATACAACAAGCATAATTGTTTCAGGGAGAGACCAAACAATGCATTACTTTACTAGCAAAACTAATCGCCCCTCGGGGACAAATAAAGGTGAATTGAATACCAAGTACATGTAAATAGTATACACATGCAGCTTATGGGCCACGTTTTGGTTTGTAGCTCCATCAAACATTAGTAAACCATAGTAGTGGTAAACTAGTAAACCATATATTTATTTAGAGCAGGTGTTCTCGATTCAAACGAGCCCAAACACAATATAAAAATATATCCTCGTAGAGTGGCATTTACACGCTGCTTCGCTAAAGCAATCCGAGATCCGATCGCGTCACAACGGTGAACCGTTTTCTAACGTCATTTGATAACATCGGGAAGGTTAATGAATAGAAACTGGATCTCAGGTCTGGTCCAAATTAGCCTGGGAAAACCCAGACAACTTCTGGCAAATTTAGATTTGCTCTGAAAGTTAGTCTGGCAAAGAGCTCATTCAAGCCCATTTCCAATCCGTCGAAATCGCGGCACCAATCAGAAGCGTTGGGGCGGGCTTTACACGATGACGACAGCGCTGGGATTTTGAAGCAGATTTTGTAGCCTACATTACAAAGATGGATGCCGCCGTCGAACATCACTCGTTCCAATCAGCTATCGCGTCTGTTTTAAGCGTTTTGAACGTTTCCTTTTAGTTAAAAACCGAGCAAAGAACAACACTCGGAGATGTTTCTCCGCCGCTCTGCATACGTCATCTCCTTCATCGCTCTGATTGGGTTTAGGTCTATCCGTGACGTCCGTTGGTGACGCCCCTCTGGAAATGATTTGTCTATGATGCTTTGCCAGACCATAACTCAGTTACAACTGAGAATGGTCTGGTTTTTAACCAGGCTAGGTCCAAATGTCTGTGAACCATGAATTCGGTAAGACACACGTATTTCGATATCGTTTATCGATTCCTGTGTGCGCATTTTAATGTGATCAAATTACTTTAGCAGGAATTTAGTTTGATACGACACAAGATTAGTCTTTTGTTTTACTTTCGACTTGACGTTACGGTCCAAGTGTGTTTGAAGTGTTTTTTTCTTTCTGTCTGAGACGTTTCTTTCGGTTTAAGGATGTTCTTGCAGCTTTTTCTATCTCCTTAATACATTTAGCATTGGTCATTTGCATTTGTATAGTGACTAGCACCCAAAAGATCCAACTTTAGATGATTTTTTATGAGTCATTCTCATCTTTGTCACCTCAGTTTGATCTGATTAGATAAACCAATATTGAATAATGATGCAATATATTGAACTTTAAAACACTCCAAATAAGTGTTGATCCTGCATATCGGTCATTACTCTGAATGGCAGTGACCTGATGTGATGAATTGGCCTCTCAGACAGACAACAGATTGAGAAGAATGTGTTGCTACTCATCTCCCTTTGTGACAGATTGAATGGCTAAGCTCCCATTTATCGCATGCAGTCGCTGCTCTGTTGTTCGGTGGGCATATGGTGACCCCGTCCCTCCGGAAACATGGCTTTACCCCGGTCACCTGAGCCGACTGTAAATGAGTTCGGGTTTTGTGTTATCAAAACAGTAGGAGTGATACACATTCATTACAATGTGTAATACAGCAAAATAATAGTCTATGGCAATCGACAGGGCTGTATGATGACTAAGTGTTATTTTAGTATCATTTATATACTATATTATAGATTTTATTAATATTTTGAATTAGATTTGATTTTTATATATATAAAAAAATGTTTGTTATCTTGTATGTTTTTTTTAATTTTATTTTTATAGATCTATTACGTTTTAGTTTATTTAGGTTTAGTTATTTTAGTGATTCAACTTAAACTAAACATAAATTGTTCATATTTATTTTTTTAAATAATTGTTTATTTATTTATTCCAAAATTTGAAATGTTGCCTTGGCTAAGCTGAAATAAAATACGTTTAGGTTTTCTAATATTTTTATTAATTTCAGTTAATGTTTATTTTAGTTGAGTTTTTTATGGTTTTGGCTTTAGTTAATGATAATAACCCTGTGACTAATACAGTAGGATGGATAATCAGTCTCTACTGTGTTTTGGTTAATGATTTGGATCATGAATTTTTTGTATAAATTAGCATAATTGTAATACTTTTCATACTTTCAATTTTAAGTCATGGTTAAAGTCATTTTACTCAACTTTAACATAATTTTGAGTGAATCTACAATTTATTTATCTGGTTCAGGACAGACTAAACATTTATTTGTTTCACTTAAGTGAATTAAGGATTTACTACACACACATATTTTTATATACCACATTATTTTTATTTATTATTATTTTTTATATATCATTTTTATGTATATATTTATTTTATTTTATAATCATTTTAACAAAAATGAATGTTTTTTTTACAACATTGAGCAATTCATATGTTTTATGCTCCAGTTGATCAACAGTATATACAGGTGAAACTCGAAAAATTAGAATATCGTGCAAAAGTTAATTTATTTCAGTAATTCAACTTAAAAGGTGAAACTAATGGCTTACAGCTTATGAAAAAATTAGAATATTGTGAAAACGTTTTCATAGCTATAAGCCATAATCATCAAAATCATAACAAATAAAGGCTTGAAATATCTCACTTTGCATGTAATGAGTCTATATAATATATTAGTTTCACCTTTTAAGTTGAATTACTGAAATAAAGGAACTTTTGCACGATATTCAAATTTTTCGAGTTTCACCTGTACTGTGTTTTCTCTACCTTGTTGCGCAGGAAGATTAAAATGGTGGATATTGTAACGCAAACAATGCCTGCAGAAAGTGAAGTACATGTGGCCAGGAATTTTCTCACGAAGATTTTGAGAAGTTCTATGAGGTATTGTGGAGCTGTTGGCCTTTGTCTCGTGACCCCCAGCCCTGTACGCTCCTGTAGTTATCATCACCCATCGACCCGTCCACCCCTGCCAGACCCGAGTATCACATCCTCTGCCATGTGGCGTCTTAGCTGTAGCTGTGCTGTTCACGTGCAAGATGGGGATTATACGCTTAAGCTTATTATCTGGCTGTCAATTTCACTGGCTTGTTTAGAACCTGTGAGCGTCAGTGCAGAATCGTCAGTGTTTCCTGCTGTCTTGTTGATGAGTGCTGATCATTTGTCAAAAACATTTGAACAAATATTCTGCATGTGTTTCTTACATAATTTGTCTTGATCTGATTGTATCCCCTCCTTTTCCACCTCACATCCATTTCAGGAAAAATCGCTTCAAAGGGTACGTCTTGTGCAGCTAAATGAGTTATGAAATTATATTCTGCAAAAGGAACAAATCATGTTATTCACAGTTCCTAAAGTAGATCTCTTAGACCAGAAATATTCCTGATAGCCTGAGTGATAACTGATGTTTTTTAACACTTTAACACCTAACATTAGTAGTACAAAAAATTAGAATATCGTGCAAAAGTTAATTTATTTCAGTAATTCAACTTAAAAGGTGAAACTAATATATTATATAGACTCATTACATGCAAAGTGAGATATTTCAAGCCTGTATTTGTTATAATTGTGATGATTATGGGTTACAGCTTATGAAAACCCCAAATTCAAAATTAGAATATTGTGAAAAGGTTTTCATAAGCTGTAAGCCATAATCATCAAAATTATAACAAATAAAGGCTTGAAATATCTCACTTTGCATGTAATGAGTCTATATAATATATTAGTTTCACCTTTTAAGTTGAATTTGCTGAAATAAATGAACTTTTGCACGATATTCTAATTTTTCCAGTTTCACCTGTATGTTTTATTTCATGAAAATGTGAAAATAGTGACTTATAGTAACCCAACATGTAGACAAACATGTTTATTTATTATATGTAGATTTGCATAATATGCATTATTTTATTCTTTATTTATCTATTTTCTCAATTATTTATGACTATTTTAGTCCTTAGTTCTAACCCGTTCGTTGTAGGCTATAATTATGTACAAAATACTGTTACAATTTCTAGAATAAGCCTGTTTAAACTAAAGTAGTCTTTCTGAAAATGTAACAATTTAAATTTAGTTACATTTTTTTATTTCAGGAGGAATGAATCATCATGTAGACCCCATTCGTGGCACTCTGCTAAATCCACAGATAACCCCACCACAGACAGCCCTAAATCTGAACCCAGCCCTGCACCTGACTCCACTTGGCAGACAAAATATGATGCAGGGTGAGATTCTGAGGGTTTGTTTGCAGTGAATATAAATTAATCTGAGTCAGCATCATTTATTTTCTTTGTATTTTACCAGGTCACCCACAAAAGAATTCACCAGCTGTTGGGGACAGACCAATCTGCGACAAGTGTCCTGCCAGGTCAGCTCAGTGGGAAATATGGAAAGTGTAGAGCCCTCATCTCACGCTTTCTCAAAAGAGCAGCCGTCAAGCAAACCCAATGGTGGAGAAGATCACCCAATGTTTTTATCAGGCACAACTGACCACAGTTCACCTCGGGGTGTTGCTCCCACAGAAGAGATTTTTTACAGAGGCGTTCCCAACGATACTGAAGTTCCCAATGACTGCCACAGATACCTGCAGATACCCATGGGCAACGGGGGACGCGTGAGTCCCAGTGTGGAGGAGCAAGCTAGCTCCAAATTCTCCTCCACTTGGAGATCCAACCATAGACCTGTGTGGCATATTCCTGAGAGCAAGATGACCACTATTCAAGCTCCTCCTGCTCCTCCACCTCCCTTGCGTAGTGATAGTTTCACTGCCACCAGAGTTCATGAGAAGAGCTTGGTGGGATCGTTCCCTGAAGGCATATCTGTATATCCACAACAGAAACCTCACTGCAGAGCTGTGGACCAACAGTTGGATGGTGAAGCGAGACACAGCTACAACACACCTCCAAAGAAGGACTTCTTTCAGCCGTATCTTTCGGTTGAAGACTATCCAAATAAGCTAAAACCTTCCAAACCCTTTTCCCTGTCAAGCACTGATGTAAGACAAGGGCAGAACCCATTTACTTACGAGCTTCAGCATCAGAGACAGCATAGTGATGATAGTCACTTTTCGGTGTACCCTAACGGTACAAGTTCACCAAATACCCAGAGTGTTGGGAGCTACTACCGAAGCCTTCAAGATTTACCCACCAACGCTGGCAGTCGAAACAAAGCCAGAACCAGCATGGCATTCGACCCCAATTATGAGGGCCAGGCTCATTTCCGTTACTACTGCATCACTGCTCAGCAGCCATCCCTGAAATCATCTACGCAGGGTTGGATAGGAGATGAACGAAGGTCGGAAATGGGAACCACTCAAGGTGCTACAGACAGAAGCTTGGTTGGTCCTCAAAAGGCTGTGAAGACAAAGTATCCCCAACTCAATCTACCTGAGAACAAGAGCTCCAACGGTTACAGCAAACAGGCCATCAGTCCTCCATCTCAAGCCGCGTCCCCTGTACCAAATCATGTGATTTCAAAGTCCAGCTCTGGGGAAAGAGAGACTCAAAAGAAGAAAGATGGAGGTAAGCCACAGCCTTCCAGGCACGTACCAAAAAAACAGATTGAGCAGAATAACCAAATGTCCACTCAACACCTGGATAATCCATGGATCAGCAAGCAGGATCACAAGATCTGTCCACACAAGACCCCCATGTTGCACTCTCTGGCCCAAGAGAGCAAGATGGCAGAAAAAATGATCGTAACAGCCAAAGCAGGTGGTCAAGAATCAACTGATGCGATCGGTGGTAAACAGGGAAGAAGGAGTGACCGCTACGCCACAACTCTACGCAACGAGATCCAACAGAAGAGGGATCAACTTCAGAAAAGCAGAAGTGCAGCTACCTTGACCTGCTCAAGTGAAGTTGAGGATGACTCTGACATCTGGAAGTCTAATGAGACCTCCACATCGTCTTCGGATGGTTCCTTCACCAACACTTACAAAGATCATCTGAAGGAAGCCCAAGCCAAAGTTCTGAAGGCCACGTCATTTATGAGGAGGGACCTGGAGCTCCCTGGGAACGAATCTGCATCGGATCAACTTCCCAAAAGATCTGGGCCTGTTAATGGGCAGGTCTCCCGCATTGGGGGGCGTAAACGGTTTCCCGTGGATAAAAAGATACATTCCTTCTCTGAACCGGACAAGATCAATAAAATAGGAGTTGAGGATAAAGCAGGGTCATTTGTAGACCGATACAAGTTCTTTGAGAGTTCCTGCAAAGCAGTTCTCCAAAAGCCCATTCCCAAGCAGTCCCTCCTCAGTCCCAATGAAGACCACATTGAGAGAAAGACTAGATTAACTGGAGACTGTGAAAGCATCCATCAAGCTCCCTTAAAACAAAGTAAATCAAGCCATGCTGACCTTAATACAGAGGAGCAGCAACGGCTCGGTACGTTTGCTGAATATGAGGCTACATGGAACATGCAGAAAAAGCCAGTGGAAAGAAGAATAACGGGCAGATACCGTTCAGCGGAAAACATCCTGGACTCAGGCTTGGAGGAATCCAACAGCACAGTGTGTGTTCATGAAAGATCCCGTTCCTCCCCTTCTGCTGACTTCTACGGACAGGTGAGAAGATGATTATTTGACTATAAAGTCAAAATTCTCCACATTTCATTAGATACACAATGCATTGTTTGGTAATAGTTAGGGCTGTCACTTTTGTGTAAAAATCCTGTTTGATTTTTGAGACATAAGTGTTCATTGAATCGATTGTAAAATCGATTTCCCATGTTTAAAGACGTTTCCATTTTCAACACCAAATATAGGCAAATCCACGGACAACTAACAGACATTAGGACGAGCGTAAAGAGGCGCTTGAGACGCACAAGTCAGCAATATTCCTGATGATTTATTGCCGTGAAGTTTCGTGCACAATGACAAACAGGAGCGCAACATTCAGGGATTGAGATTAACACCCTCCAACTCGCCAAATGCGGGTAAAAATGAACTTTGGCGGGAAACGCTGTCAAATCACGAGCCAATTTGGCGTGTTTCTATGTTTACTTACTCACTTTGCTGGGGAAGTTCGTGTAAGCCAAATCTGCACGGATTTAGCCCAAATACGCAACTCGTGAGTCCTATTGCGCAGAATCTGCGCATTTCTGGCTTACTTGAACACACACGGACGTCACTAACACAAGCAACAAATAACGGCGCGCTTGTTCACTTTCATTGAAGTAATAGCGAATATTAAAAAGCATTTGGTTAACAGAAAAGACATTGTTATTTTCCAACATCCTACATGTTCTGTGTACTGTATTGATCTGACCACCTAAAAAAAATTATTTGTAAAAAAAAAAAAAAAAAAATTCCGTTAAAATCGATTCCCTATTTTAGTTTTCGAAACTTGTGTTGGTTGGTCCGATCGATTGTGCAATCGATTTTCGAACGTAAAGTGACAGCCCTAGTAATAGTTATGAGTTTGCTGCTGGCACAGTGGATAAAGTAAGGGCAGTCTGTCCTTCAGGTAGAAGACTCTTTGGCATCTGTGTTAACGGATCCACATTCCTTTCAGAAAATCCCTCTGCCACCCAGAAAGTCTCCTGTAGAATCTCAGCCTGAAGCCAATGGCCAACAGGAGACCCGTATCACCAGGTTAGGATTTCTTGTCTTGTCTAGGTGTTCAGATACAAGTAAGGGCCTATAATTTCTTTGATCTGATAATGTACATATTAGGGGTGTAACTGTACACAGAAGTCACGGTTTGGTATGTACCTCGGTTTTGGGGTCACGGTTCGATAAGTTTGATACATTTACATTCCCTCCCCCCTAATTCCTGATTGCTAAAAAATAAAAATGAAGGAATTGTTGATTTGTTGACCAATGCTGCATGGTAAAATGCAACGGCTGTTTTCAAACTTATTGGTTCGATTAACGTGTTGTAGCCTACAATGTCATTTTCTTTGCATTTCATGCGCTGACAATGGCAGATGCACAAAATTCAATAGTACGTTTTTCAAGAAATCACTGAAAAATTTGTATAAAAAAAAAAAAGTGCCATCTACATCCGCCTACTTCACCTCTCCACGAAGAGCCAGAGAAAGGCACCAAAGGCTTCCCATTTCCAGGACGTGCATATTTCAGACCTGGACTGTAGTGAGACTTCCAATGCCAAACAATTTTGTCTCATTATAACAGTGGAAACAACTTGAGATACTCTGTCATTTATGGTCATACAGATAAGAGTAAGACATCATTCAAAACTGTAAAGGGTCTTTTATTTGTGTACACTCAAAAACATTTTGCGTTTTGTAAAATAAAGAAAACAAACAGGATGACACTTTCTGCCGTCCCGGTTTCCTTTCCGTTAAGTTGACAGAAATGAATCTAAACTAAGCAAGCTGTTGTGTGAAAGGATTAGTTCACCTCAAAATGAACATTTCCTAATAATTTACTCACCCCAATGCCATCCAAGATATCCATGTCTTTCTTTCCTCGGTGGAAGAGAAAATACGTTTTTTCGAGGAAAATATTTCTGGATTTTTCTTCGAATAATGGACTTCAATTGCAACCAACGTTTTGAAGTCCAAATCAATGCAGTTTTAAAGGTGTTTGAAGTGCTTTAACCGGCTGTGCACGATCAGCTGAGGAAGAGGGCCTTATCTAGCGAAACGCATTGATTTGGATTTCAAAACATTGGTTGCAATTGAAGTCCATTATTCGAAGAAAAATCCAGAAATGTTTTCCTCAAAAAACGTATTTTCTCTTCCACTGAGGAAAGAAAGACATGGATATCTTGGATGGCATTGGGGTGAGTAAATTATTAGGAAATTTTCATTTTGAGGTGAACTAATCCTTGAAGTCTTGTTTTGGGTTGGCGCAAAGTCTCTTCTTCTTCTGCTCTTTTTCCTGTAATGGCTCTTAGCAAACAGCGTTGCATTACCACACGCGCCCCCTTCTGGATTGGAGTTTGGATCGCCTTGACTGATTGTATTCATTTTCTGATTTTGTGCATAGAACCGTGATGGTTCGGGATGAATACATGTAACATTACACCCCTAGTACAAACTGATAATATGTGTTTTACTGTAATTTCTATTTTAAAGAGGATCCGGAAGCGAGCACAGTCCACTCAACATCTCCGAGCCGGTTACAATGAACGTTCTGGAAAGTGTTGCTGTGTCTCTTGCCTCGAACCAGAGACCCAAACCTGACACCAAGCAGCCGGCAACTCTCTCTTCAAATCATCTCCAGGTTCCCATGTCAAAGCAACGGCTTCCTAAAAACAAAGGTTCTGAACCGCAGAGGTCCGCCAAACCCACACAGCCGGATGCCATGTGCCCTACTAGAGCTTCCCAGGAATTTAGGGTTCAGACCTCTTCACCTGAGCCAACTCAAGAGCCCCAAAGACTGATTACTTCACCATGTCCTGCACAACATCTGGAGAGAGACATACACCTGACTGCTGCACCAGAGGACGACCAGAGATCAGACACCGAGGGAACGTTATCTCATACGCCACGTCTTTTAGCTCGTGCCTCTCCCAAGCTGAAAACTGATCTGATGGTAACCTCAGCCAGCAGAACACGTTCTCGTTCTCCTTCTCCTCAGTTCTATCCACAGAGGCTCACAGATCAACCACCTGCAACTGTGCAGAAAAAGGACCAATGCAGGTAACTAGAGTATTAGATACTGATTAGGTTCTGGCGTCGGAAGCAAAAAAAAATGTGTGGGTCCTCCCCCAGAAAAATGTTACTGGAGTAAATGCCATTTCATGTAATTCTGGTGCCTTTCAATTAAACAAGTAAACTAAACTCCGCTTCACGTCGTGCATTAAATGCACAGCTATCCATGGATTATCCCGCTGATGATACCATGGCCAGCATTGACAATTTAAAGCTGTTATTGATGTTTGCAACGCAATATTTGACTGGAAGGGTACAACGGGCGGTTATATTTGTCAGTTGCGGCTCGTTGAGAAATATAATGCAGCGATTCAGGGAAAATGGAGTTTAATTTATTAGGGCATTCCTCAAGTGGAATGGATTTGACTGACGGCGCTCTTAAAAGTGAACAGACATATGCGCTGAATTAGAGACGGTAAAAGTGAGTGGGTCCAATATTATTGGTCTTAAAGGGTTAGTTATTGGTAATACTGAAGTAATAAAAAATTTAAAAAACGGCGAGCCATCTGTTCTGTACTAGCTCAGATTATTGAAAAACGGGGCATTAATTTATAAGACTATGTCTTCCTTATGCTCCTAATGTTATTATTTTGTTGTTGTTGTGATTGTTGTTGTGTCTATAATAACATCATGACTGAATAAAGAAATTTGAATTTGAACTTGAGTTCACCCAAAACTGAAAATTATGTCATTAATGACTCGCCCTCATGTCGTCCCAAGCCAGTCAGACCTCCGTTCATCTTCAGGACACAGTTTAAGATATTTTAGATTTAGTCCGAGAGCTTTCTGTCCCTCCATTGTAAATGTATGTACGGTATACTGTCCTCGTCCAGAAAGGAAATAAAGACATCATCAAAGTAGTCCATGTGACATCAGTGGGTTAGTTAGAGTGTGTTGAAGCATCGAAAATACATTTTGATCTAAAAATAACAAAAACTAGGCCTTTATTCAGCATTGTATTGTCTTCTGGTTCTGTTGTGGATCCGCGTTCAGTGCCGCCGCTGACGTAAGACGCTGCTGACGTGTGTCTGGTGTGTGTGTGTGTGTGTGTATTCTGGTTCTGTTGTGGATCCGCGTTCAGTGCCGCCGCTGACGTAAGACGCTGCTGACGTGTGTCTGGTGTGTGTGTGTATTCGGGTTCAAATAAATATGGCTGGGCAAAAAAATGCAAGTCTTCCTCTGTGTGGAAATCCTTAGACATGTTTGCGAAGATTGTTTTGTTTCCAGCGTGCGTCTCCCTCAGACTGTAGACGAAGCTCGGGCGCACCAGACACACGTCAGCAGTGTTTTTGGGTGAACTAACCCTTTAAAAAGGTCATATACAATGGTTCCGACACCCATGGTTCTGGATGATGAATCTGTTTCACTGCTAAAATTCACATTTTTAACTCATGACGAACTTGTTCCCTATTGCAGGAGTAAGACGGAGGAAACATCAGAGCCAAACACTGCTGGCCGGAAGGTCCCCATACAGATTGTCTGTGCAGAAAACGGTTCAGAGAGGGAAAACAGAAACTATGTGCAACATGGTGAATCATCCCGAAGCTCTGAGGTGCCTAAAACGGGCCAACTAAAAAAACCAGATTCTCCAGAGAAATCCAAGTCGCTGTTTATTGCCCACGCCCATCCAGATCCCATCAAAAACACAGAACATCAGACGGTACTAGACAACACCGAGCCGAGAAGCAACGGTTTGACCGCACGCTCAGAGGAGGACCTGAAGCGAGAGGAGCTGGCCAGAGATATCATGGGGAAGGACAAGAGTCTGGTGGACATCTTGGATCAGAGTAAGATGAAGACTACGATGGATCTGATGGAGGGAATATTTCCACAGGGGGAGCCGCTCCTGGAGGGAGCGCAGCAGAGGAGGAAAGCCATCAACAAACAGACGTCTCCCAAAAACACACCGCAGAGGTACACCGTTTGAGAGAGAGAGAGGCGAATGGCACAAAAACATGGTCACATTTCACCTGAAAATCAAGAGAAAAAAATCATGTAGATTTTGCATCAGTTAAAACTATTTTAGTACAATTTAAGAATTGTTTAATTGGGACTTTTTCATGACAGTTAGGCACATTTTTCCTCAAATTGCTTCAAATACTGAAATGCAAAATACTGTGATGCATCTAAACGCTTTACTTTTGAGTTTTCTTGTAATCATTCTGACTGATGATTCTTATCAGATCCTCATTATATAAGTGATTCTCCATACAATACATTTTGTGCTGATTTAAATCATACATAATGTCTTCACGCTATGTAAATGTAATTATTTAGCATATTTGTATTATGGTAATGAGCATTTTTTGAAGGGTCATTAAAATTTGCTTTAAAATAGTCTTAAGGTTAATTTTTAAACCAAAATGTAATTTCTTATTTCTTTCCCATTTTGTATTTTGGGGTGTAATATGAGCCAGATGATGTACTTCACAGGTTTGTGGGAATTTTTTTTAGCAAAAATGTGACATTCCTGTTTTGTCACGTCTCGTTTGTTCGTCATCAGCTGCAATATGTAAATGTTTTGGCCATCAGCTGTTCAACTGGAATTACTGTGTTTGTTCTTTTACTAATTGGAGTCATGAAGCATTATATCAGTGAAAACCTGTACACTACTGCCCTCTACTGAGACACTTACACACACACACAATATAACAATATAACAATATAATATAATAAAACTATGAAACTTACCTGGTGATTTTTCACCGATTTTTTCTTTTGAGTGACCCATGAATGTTTGATTTCTGCAGAGTGGAGGACAGTTTGTCTTCGTCAGCGTCGTTAGTGAGCAGTTCGTCATATTACAGCACATCTGCACCTAAAGCAGAGCTGCTCATAAAGATGAAGGACATGCAGGAGCACATGGAGGAACAGGATTCAGAGGACGAACTTGATTATGACCTGTCCAACAAGAAGGTACAAGGTTTATATTCAATATTTTGTTGCATGGTTTTTACTCATGTTGTGCTGCACTGGTAGCAACAAGACAAAAATGCATTGTTGAGAGAAAAAAAACATAGATAAGTCACATTATGTGTGTAAAATGTGTGAATGCGCTATACAAATAAACTCACGTACCTCTCATTCGACACAAATACAAATGTGTGTGCTTTCCGCACGTTCTGTGCTTAACATTAATTGCATTATACAAGTTGCAGCATGTTTCAAAAAGCATTCTGGAAAATATCACAGTTGACAATTAGATGATCTGGTTGATGTCTTTGTAATTGCAGCAAGAGTTGATTGACAGCTTAAGTAAGAAGCTGCAGGTTCTGCGAGAGGCGCGCGAGAGTCTTCAGGAGGACGTTCAGGATAATAATGCTCTGGGAGAGGACGTGGAAGCCACCGTACAGACCATCTGCAAACCCAACGAGCTGGAGAAGTTTCGCATGTTCGTGGGAGACCTGGATAAAGTGGTCAGTCTCCTGCTGTCTCTGTCCGGTCGACTGGCTCGCGTGGAAAACGCCCTCGACAACCTGGAGGAGGGAACGTCAGCGGACGAGAAGGTGACAATTAGATGCGTGTAAAAATTTAAAATCAGTTTTTCTGTAGTTCTGTCAAAGAACGTGAGATTAAAGTGTCAGCGTTTAATATGATGGAATTAGAACTTGAACTATGCGTCTAAAGTTGACTGAACTAGTCCTAATTTAAAGTGTCCCTATTATGCTTTTTTCGACCTTTCATTTGTAATATACAGGTGAAACTGGAAAAATTAGAATATGGTGCAAAAGTTCATTTATTTCAGTAATTCAACTTAAAAGGTGAAACTAATATATTATATAGACTCATTACATGCAAGGTGAGATATTTCAAGATTTTATTTGGTATAATTTTGATGATTATGGATTACAGCTATGAAAACCTTTTCACAATATTCTAATTTTGACTTTGGGGTTTATAATAATAATCATCAAAATTATAACAAATAAAGGCTTGAAATATCTCACTTTGCATGTAATGAGTCTATATAATATATTAGCTTTTAAGTTGAATTACTGAAGTAAATGAACTTTTGCACCATATTCTAATTTTTCGAGTTTCACCTGTATAATATGAGACAAATAAAGTGTTTTTTGACCTTAGATGCATGTAAACCTATTTTAAAGCTGCAGTCCGTAGCTTTTCCTCTTTGTCGCCATCTCTCTGTTCGAAATCTGTAACTGCAGTGATTCGCGGAATTATCATCTTTACGTGGGTTGTAAATCGGCATGAAACAGCGCGGATGAACACAGTGCTTTGAGGCGAGTGCTGCTGTCAGTCACCGCGCTGTGTGGATAGCCTACTGGCATACAGAATCACAGATTCACTTTTTGAAAGTTTGACCAACATAAGAATTTTCATAAGAAAATGTCTTCTGAACAAGTAAGTAACATCCATTTTTGTTCTGATCAACTAAGGGGGGAAAAGCATTCGACATGATAAGCTTCGTTAGATTTAATCAACACGATTTACAGCAACCGTGCAAATTATAGCCTACTTTGTTCTCAAATTGTTCATGTTAACAACATCAGCATTGCGTGACTAATGTTAAATTTAATGTGTTTTATGGTTACCTGTGTAGTTCAGAATTCATATTCTCCATAATAGCAAAACGAGAAAGGCACAACAAAGGAAACTCCATAACTGTGTGAATTAAGAAAACGTACTGTTACACGATTGAACTATTGAAATGTCTTACTTGTTCAGCAGAAAAAAGCCGTCTCTTCTTCCGTTTTGAACCCCTTCAAAACACGGAGTTCACGCACTTTTCAAAAGCCCCGCCGATGTTTAAATCCTTGTGTTCGCATGAGACGGTTTCTTTCTCTTTCTCTAGCCACCTTAAATCCGAAGTACGAAGTCTTTTGGGTTTTATAACTGCTGAATCTCCAGTTGACACTGATGATTGTTGTTTGGATCTTTCTGGATGCCATAAGTTTAATTATGTAAAGTGCTGCGAGAAAAGCCTATACATCTAAACATCTCGTCACGCGCAGTATAGCCGAAGGAGCCGAAACTCCTTCTTTATGTGTACGGGTGTGACGTCATGACGCAAAGACATGCTCGAATTTCCCGCGGAAACCCACCAGTACCACTGGAATTAAAAGCATTATTACAAGCTAACCGTTTTGAATCTAGCTATGGCAAGCAGATAGTTTTGAACACTGGCAGAATAAGTTTTTTTTGAATATAATTATTTTGGATTATTTTTAACTTAAAAAAGTTACGGACTGGAGCTTTAAGGACACCTAAAAAAACAACAACTTTAAAATAGCTTAATTGGGACATTTTAACATTAGTTATATTTATTTTATTTATTTAAAATCTTAGCTTTTCAGCAATGTAAATATGCCAGAATTAGCCCCAGGGCTACTTTACATCTGCAGTCCCCCGTCAGGTCATCACAAACTCAAATCAAATAACAAGCGATATACCAATATACCAGAGAGAGAGGAAAAAAACCACATTTTAAGAATGATTTGTACAATAAAAACTCATGTGTTGTACTTTCAGCACACTTTGACCGAGAAACGCAAACTGCTGATTCGCCAGCACGAAGATGCCAAAGAGCTGAAGGAAAACTTGGACCGAAGAGAACGTCTGGTTTATGAGATTCTGGCCAGTTACCTCAGCGAAGAGCGTCTGGCAGACTACCGGCACTTCGTCAAAATGAAGTCAGCGCTCATTATTGAGCAGCGCAAACTGGAGGATAAGATCAAACTGGGCGAAGAGCAGCTCAAATGTCTGAAGGACAGTCTGCCGCTGGACCAGAGACTTCTGTACTGAGCTGATCTAGCCGGGACTGGTTCAGCATGACCACACGACCCGAGATACTGAGCATCTCTAAGCAGATTTCATATCTGCCACTGTGCATTGGATAGATTTATTATGTGATAGTCATAGAAATGCTTTGAACTTTTTAATGATTCCAGTTTTCTTTAGCATTAGTGAATTCATGCGTTGAATATCCACTCACGGTTTCAGGGATGTGCTAAAGGTTTTAAAGGATCTCTTTTAGTCATTATTAAGGTTTTTGTACCTGTATTTACGTTTAACTAATTAATTTTGCTACTGAATGCTAATGGTGCTATTAACAACAGAAAGGTTTCTACCACATTAGATCTGCTTGTTCTAGTTTTCACACCGAAAACCATTTTACTCATTTCAGTGTAAATGTTTTAAACTTTCCTGTTTGTTTGTTTTTTAACTTAATGAAATAACAAAGGGAGCTTCAGAATATCTCATCTCGTATGTCAAATATTCTTTCAATCTCTTGATTTATGGCCCATATCCCTGCTTTCCAATCTCACTGTGAACCGGAAGAGTCTTTTATTGCAGGCAGGAGATATACCGATCATAGATGCGCTTTCAGTGCTGAAATACAAATAAAAATATTTATATACTGCAAATTTGCGGTTAAGTTCTTGGACAGATCATCCATCTGGTTTATATCACACTTGCCATTTGGAAATTATTCCCAAACATTTTCACAGTAGTTTTTTATTGAATTTACAGTATATTATTAATAAGTTGTTCAATGTTTTATAACTCATTCTGAAGCCTCACCCACACTTTATGATTTTATGAGTCGCTTTGTTTTCCAATATGATGCAAATGATTTCAAATTCCTCATTGGTTTGATTTTATGATTGGTGAGCCGTGGTCAATCATTCACAGAAACATATTCACAGGCTTGTTTACACTGGATTTCTGAGCTAAAGGAAGTGGAGTTTTACACCGTCTCCAGTCCAACGCTGAGCGTCGAAACGAGAAGATTCATGGATCAGTGGAACATGTGCTGATATGGTAATACGATCAGTTTTTTATTATCATTTATTCGAAACTTTAATTCGATTTTATGTGTATTGATTGAAAATATATTTTAAAATATCCACAAACATCTTGACACAGATGAACCGTGTTTTAAAATCAGTGACCGTAAATACATTTATATTGTTAGTAAAGATTAATATTTCAAATAAATGCTGTTCTTTTTAACTTTCTAATCATCTAAGAATCTTGACCAAATGTATCATAGTTTAAGCAAAAATAAGAGCAACTGATTTCAACATTGATAATAATCATAAATGTTTCTTGAGCATCAAATCATCATGTTAAAATGATTTCTGAAGGATCATGTGGCACTGAAGACTGGAGTAATGATGCTGAAAATTCAGCTTTGATCACAGGAATAAATTACATTTTAACATGGATTAAAATAGAAAACAGCCATTTTTAATTGTAATAATATTTAACTGTTTTTACTGTATTTTTGATCAAATAAATGCAGCCTTGGTGACCGGTAGTGTAAATAATTCATTAAATGAACACCAGGGTTATCATTGTTAAATACCATTTACTATTTTGTTTTGACAAATGAGTAATAATTAATAAACCTATTATTTATGTATATATATATATATATATATATACACACACACTCACCTAAAGGATTATTAGGAACACCATACTAATACTGTGTTTGACCCCCTTTCGCCTTCAGAACTGCCTTAATTCTACGTGGCATTGATTCAACAAGGTGCTGAAAGCATTCTTTAGAAATGTTGGCTCATATTGATAGGATAGCATCTTGCAGTTGATGGAGATTTGTGGGATGCACATCCAGGGCACGAAGCTCCCGTTCCACCACATCCCAAAGATGCTCTATTGGGTTGAGATCTGGTGACTGTGGGGGCCATTTTAGTACAGTGAACTCATTGTCATATTCAAGAAACCAATTTGAAATGATTCGAGCTTTGTGACATGGTGCATTATCCTGCTGGAAGTAGCCATCAGAGGATGGGTGCATGGTGGCCATAAAGGGATGGACATGGTCAGAAACAATGCTCAGGTAGGCCGTGGCATTTAAACGATGCCCAATTGGCACTAAGGGGTCTAAAGTGTGCCAGGAAAACATCCCCTACACCATTACACCACCACCACCAGCCTGCACAGTGGTAACAAGGCATGATGGATCCATGTTCTCATTCTGTTTACGCCAAATTCTGACTCTACCATCTGAATGTCTCAACAGAAATCGAGACTCATCAGACCAGGCGACATTTTTCCAGTCTTCAACTGTCCAATTTTGGTGAGCTCTTGCAAATTGTAGCCTCTTTTTCCTATTTGTAGTGGAGATGAGTGGTACCCGGTGGGGTCTTCTGCTGTTGTAGCCCATCCGCCTCAAGGTTGTGCGTGTTGTGGCTTCACAAATGCTTTGCTGCATACCTCGGTTGTAACGAGTGGTTATTTCAGTCAAAGTTGTATCTTCTATCAGCTTGAATCAGTCGGCCCATTCTCCTCTGACCTCTGGCATCAACAAGGCATTTTCGCCCACAGGACTGCCGCATACTGGATGTTTTTCCCTTTTCACACCATTCTATGTAAACCCTAGAAATGGTTGTGCGTGAAAATCCCAGTAACTGAGCAGATTGTGAAATACTCAGACCGGCCCGTACAACCATGCCACGCTCAAAATTGCTTAAATCACCTTTCTTTCCCATTCTGACATTCAGTTTGGAGTTCAGGAGATTGTCTTGACCAGGACCACACCCCTAAATGCATTGAAGCAACTGCCATGTGATTGGTTGATTAGATAATTGCATTAATGAGAAATTGAACAGGTGTTCCTAATAATCCTTTAGGTGAGTGTATATACAGGTGAAACTCAAAAAATTTGAATATCGTGCAAAAGTTCATTTATTTCAGTAATTCAACTTAAAAGGTGAAAGTAATATATTATATAGACTCATTACATGCAAAGTGAGATATTTCACGCCTTTATTTGTTATAATTTTGATGATTATGGCTTATAGCTATGAAAACCTTTTCACAATATTCAAATTTTTTGAGTTTCACCTATATATATGTGTGTGTACTGTATACACACACTATTAAATATATATATATATATATATATATATATATAAATATATATATATATATATAATAGATTTATTAATTATTACTCTTTTGTGTGTTATGTGTCAATGCATTTTGCCACAAAAAATACCATATGGCCTTTTACTGAAGTATTACATTTCTCTGTTTGTTTTCTGAAGCAAAGCAACAGGAAGTTTATGATCTAAACTAGATCTCTGTCTGTCTCTTTGTCTCAGAGGGATGTGAGGTTTGTTTGCCAGGTTACTTGGAGACATTGGTTAGTTAAACCCACAACACTCCTCCTCAGTCGCTGTGAACTCCATTAAGAGCCATTCGGCGGTTTCAGAGAAGACGAGGCTCTTCAGGATGGATGTTTGTCACATTAAGGAGAGTGAATCTGAAGTCTAAACCATGGCTTATCTCGTCCACACGGCGCATGCGCAGTTCGTGGCTCTCTGGCTCGGGACGGTCGGCTGGATTCTCATCATTGTGACCCTCGGGCTGGTGGAGTGGCGGGTTTGGGAAGTATCTGACCTGTCAGTCATCACTTCAGGTCTGGCATGGGTGGGTATTTGGAGAGTGTGTTTTTATAGTCACGTTCTGATCTTATCCAACAACCAGATCATGTTCTGTCAGAGGATTGGTTTGTTGGAGTCGTTCACGCCACCAGAAATCGCCTCGGCTCAGGTGCTCCTGCTAGTGGCTCTGGTTCTTGGGCTCATTGGAAACGCTAGCGTCGTTTACGGCCTCAGGAATATTTACTTCGGACTGAACACGTTTAAAGCCATCAGACTGGCGTTTTACACCGGCGGGTTTCTGTTCATCCTCACCGGAGCTGCTGCGCTCGTGCCCGTGTGCTGGAATCTCCACTCAGTCATAAACAATCAGACTATAATATTCCCAGCAGAGTTTCTCATGCCTCCCGCTCCGGTAAAGCAATACATCGGACCCGGTATCATCGTGGGGATATTTGCATCCACCCTGTTGGTCTGTAGCGGGGTGGTCTTTCTGTCCTACAGGGTCCCGGTCGTGCTGGAGCCCAGAGTGAGGCCCTCGTGGCCCGGAGAAGGGTCCTCGGGGACCCGTGTGAACCGCCAGGGAATTGACAATCTAGCTTTCCAAACGCAGAAGAACAGTTAGCTCATCCTTTCCTCGGGTCATTTTAAACCGAAAATCTTTTTTTCTTCTTTTTTTTATGTTATAAATTGAGTGTTTCATCAGAGGGGTTCAAGACCCTAGGACTATTGTCGCACTTGAACACACACACACACACACACACACACACACACACACACACACACACAAAATGAATGGATTTGAGGAGTTTTGTGGTTTAAAAAAGTAACAAATCCTTCCTTCCCTCTTGGGTCAATAATGACCCCCTTAGGAACGCTTCAGTTCGCTACACATAGAAAAATATAAAATTGCTCAAAATTCAAACTAAAAATGCTAAATCTATCCGAAACAATTATTTAAAGGAGAACTCCGGCGCGAAATGAACCTTTGGTGTAATAAGACATTGGTACCGAGTCGACCGTTCTCTGGGATTTGTTTTCATGATAATCGAATGTAAAGAGTTTTATCTCTAAAAACTGTTTAGCGTATAACGCTAGTAATGGGGGCATATAATAAGTAAAAAGAAATCGCTAGTTAATACCACTAACAAGGCTCAAAATAGCCCCACACTAACACAGTAACATAATGAGGGTCCCTACATGCAAAACGAAGCATTGAGAACTTTGTAAGTGTACAGACCGTTTAATAAGAAGATATTTTATGAAGACAGTCCACTTCGTGTATACAGACAGGAGCCATCTTTGGAAAACAGTCTCGACTAATCAAACCACGAACGCCATTCATACAGTTCAGAAGTTCAGTGAACTTCATATAGTTCAGCTCACTTAGCACGTCGTTCGTGGTTTGATTAGTCAAGACTGTTTTCCAAAGATGGCTCCTGTCTGTATACACGAAGTGGACTGTCTTTATCTTTATCTTCTTATTAAACGGTCTGTACACTTACAAAGTTCTCAATGCTTCGTTTTGCATGTAGGGACCCTCATTATGTTACTGTGTTAGTGTGGGGCTATTTTGAGCCTTGTTAGTGGTATTAACTAGCGATTTCTTTTTACTTATTATATGCCCCCATTACTAGCGTTATACGCTAAACAGTTTTTAGAGATAAAACTCTTTACATTCGATTATCATGAAAACAAATCTCAGATAACGGTTGACTAGGTACCAATGTTTTATTAGACCAAAGGTTCATTTCGCGCCGGAGTTCTCCTTTAAAAATGTCTACATGTGTATCTGAATGCATGCTGAAGTAGAACTGACTTTAGGACCCAGCGGAAACAACTCATTTGCTCCATCTAATTGCCAGAGTCATTTAATATCATGTTATATTGTTATTTTTCCACAAGAGGTCTGCAAAGACACCCAATGTAAGATATTTTGAGCTGAATTAAAAGGGTTATGCATGAAATTGTGAGTTATTTTGAATTTAAGTTGAAAGAATGTGAGGAATGTGCTTAGATTACTATTTATTTATTATTTATTGATCAAATATAGTAATTTAAAGGTAAATAAAATAAAAAAAAGAACAAAAAATTACATTAAAAAATAGAACAAATATTATCAAAATTAAATAAAATAAGCTTTCTGGAAAGTATCATTTTAGGGCTTCGGGTAATTTTGACCCACGAGGGAAAGATATGTTACAAAGTGCGAGGATAGGATGAAGGCTATTTCCAGGTGTGTGTGTGTGTGTGTGTGTGTGTGTGTGTGTGTGTGTGTGTGTGATGCTGCAGAAGACCATAATTAGGATGCTGTGTTCGTCTCATAGACTGTAAAAAAAGATTTGTCTCAGGCCCTTCATACTGTAACTACTACTGTACAAACACTGCCCGACCCTGTAGACCCCCATAATCAAATAATACTAATAATAATTTATTGTGAAAACGACTATAAGTAGCAAATTTCTATCGTTAAAAGAGAAGGCATAAAGATAAGTCACATTGTTGTATAAGTCACATTTTATTTTTTATCTACGTTTAATAAAGTAAAATACCGGTAAATAAAACAAAACGTTTACAAACATTAAACACTCCACATCAAACTTCAGAACAGATCAGAAATGAAAAATATAAGTATGCCTATAAACAAACACAAGTTATAGTGGCAAAACAACATTCGTGATAAATGCCACAATTTTTTGTCATTGTTTTTGTGCTTGTATCTTGGGGTTTTTGTGTAATGTATTTTAATTGTTTAAAGGGTCTGTCATTGTTCAAAACACTACAGGTGAAACTGGAATAATTAGAATATGGTGCAAAAGTTCATTTATTTCAGTAATTCAACTCAAAAGGTGAAACTAATATATTATATAGACTCATTACATGCAAAGTGAGATATTTCAAGCCTTTATTTGTTATAATTTTGATGATTATGGCTTACAGCTTATGAAAACCCCAAAGTCAAAATTTGAATATTGTGAAAAGGTTTTCATAAGCTGTAAGCCATAATCATCAAAATTATAACAAATAAAGGCTTGAAATATCTCACTTTGCATGTAATGAGTCTATATAATATATTAGTTTCACCTTTTGAGTTGAATTACTGAAATAAATGAACTTTTGGACCATATTCTAACTTTTCGAGTTTCACCTGTATCTGAGTTGCTAATGGGAAGCTCTACTGTTTGAGCTACGGGAATATTTTTTGAAATTACATTTAAGTATGGAATAATTGATGTTACACGTGAAGTAGTAAAAATACTTTTTATATACTTTTCCCAGTTTGAGAGATCTCTGTTATTCAGTTCACATTTATTTGTATGCATATTGTTTGTTTTTTAACGTATGAAATATAATTTTGTATATAGGCCTAATATAATTTTGAAAGACAAGTTGCTGTCTAATATAACACTCTTTAGCAGATGAAGTTACAGTACATCCTTAAATTAATTTAATAGAAATTGACTCATCATCCAATATTTTATATCTTGAACACACTCTGTCAACGTGGATAATTTAGAGATTTCATCTGGTCGTTATGAAATATAACGGTGGAAAATAATTCCATGTTTGTATATTGAAAATAGCAAAGGGCCCAAAACAGACCCTTGTGGCAATCCATAATTTACTAACTTCGATAATGTTCAAATAAAAAAAATGGTACCTACACCTTAATGCCTGTCCCTGAATACCGGTGTAACTTTGTAGTCAATCTAAGAGTATTTTATGATCGAACGCAGCACTAAGATTAAGTAAAACTAGTGTTGAGATACAGTCAGAAGCTATAAGTCATTTGTAATTTTAACGAGTGCAGTTTCTGTGCTATGATGAGGCCTGAATCCGGACTGAATTTCTTCATAAATGTTATTTTGCCGGAAGGAGCACAATTGAGTGGAGACAACTTTTTCAAATAGTGTTTAATACATAAATGGAAGATTTGAAATCGGTCTGTAATTTGCCAATTGATTTGGATCTAGTTGTGTTTTCTTAAAGCTCCAGTCCGTAACATTTTTGGGTTAACATTTTTTTGAGCAAGTACAACCAGCCAGTGTTTAAAACTCTCTGCTTGCCGTAGCTCGATTCAAAACGGTAAGCTTGTAATAATGTTTTTAATTCCAGTTGTACTGGTGGATTTCGATCATGTCTTTGCGTCATTACGTCACATCTGTACACACACACAACTGTACACACACATAAAGAAGAGTCTCGGCTAGTAGGCTATATTGCGTGTGAGGATGTTGGAGGTGGAGATTTATAGCCTTTTCTCACAGCACTTGATATAATTAAACTTATTAATTTGATGGCGGATCCAGAAAGGTTCAAACGACGATCACCAGTGACAGCAGATTCACCCGCTGTAAAACACAGAAGACTTCGGACTGAGAGTTGGGAAAAGAGATTGCAACCGGCCCATGTGAAAACAAGGATAATATCGAAAAGGCTTCAAATGTAGTTGTTAACATTAACAATTTGAGAACAGAGTATAATTTGCACGGTTTCTTTTGCGTGATATGATAAGCGATCGTTAGATTTAATCAGCGCGATTTACTGCAATGTCAGAACCAGAACAAAAGTGGATGTTTCTTACTTGTTCAGATTACATTTTAGGGTGAAAATTATTATGTTGGTCATACTTCCAAAAAGTATAATCTGTGATTGTGAATGCCAGTATCCACACCGGGCGGCGACTGACACACACACACTCTCCTCAAACATTGTGTTCATCCGCGCTGTGTCGTATCGAACTACAACTCACGTAAAGTTGATAACTCCGCGAATGACTGCAATTGCAGATTTCGAACAGAGATGGCGACTTAAGCCTGGAACACACTAAGCCGACGGTCGGCCGTCGGCCAGTTTTTGTGCGTCGGCCGACTGAGTTTCCTCGGTGTGTTCCGCACGGTTCCGTGCCGTCGGCTGAAATTGGTCCTCGTCGGCTTTGTTTCGGCCGATTCGACATGTTGAATCGGCGTCGGGCCGTCGGTGAAAGAGGGAACTCTGATTGGCTGTTCAGCTTAGTGAAAGAGTCATGCACGAGAATAATAGCAAAACAGCGAGCAAAGAAGTCAAAACTCTACAGATAGAAGGCTGTTCTTATGTTACGTCATCTTACCTGGGTGTTCCTTGGCGAATATTTCAATATTAACACGAGCGGAGTGGAATAAAGAAAGTGTTTAGCAGGATTGATATTTAAAACGGTAAGCACGCACTGCTTTGTTTATGGTTTGTGTATCTGCAGCCGACAGCGTCGGTTTCCCCTTTTTGAATGACGAATATAGAGAATATATCTGCAGAAATATACAATTGTCTCATTTACACGCAGGCGCAGAACGCGCATTCTAGCTGACAGTCGGCTGTAGTTCTCTCGGTGTGTTCAAGTGCAGCTTTTTACCCCGACGAGAGGCGACAACACAGTCGGCTTTCATCCGCGCTAGTTCGTCGGCGTCGGCTTGGTGTGTTCCAGGCTTAAGAGGAAAAACGGCGGACTGCAGCTTTAATGAGAGGGTTGCAGCTTGAGAAGTCTGGGGACATGACCTGCAGATAAAGACGAGTTGATAATATTGAGAAGAGGCTCTTCCCAAACGAACTCTCCGTAATTTAGTGGGTATTGGATCTAATAAACATGTTGTTG